GGACTTACTATAAAGCCTAATAATTTGTCGGATTCAATCCTAAAGGCACATTTTTGTGGATTGAGTTGAGTTGATGTTTCTGGAGTCTTTCGAAATGGTCCTCAGGTTGGTGAGATGATCAAGCTTGGTCTTCGACTTGACCAGAATGTCGTCAACTTAGTCTTCCATGATGGTGTGCATTAAGTCATGAAAGATGCTAGTCACTGCCTGCCGATAAGTTGCCCCTGCATTTTTTAGGTCGAAGGGCATGACTTTGTAGCAGTAAGTTCCCCATTGCATTATGAACGAAGTCTTGGTCTGGTCTTCTTCTGCCATGAAGATCTGGTTGTAACCTAAGTAGCCGTCCATGAATGACAACATCTAGTGCCCCGTAGTGTTATCGACCAAGGCATCTATGTTTTGGTAATGGAAATTTGTCCTCGGAGCATGCCTTGTTGAGGTCTCTGTAGTCGACACACACTCAAATCATCTTGTCTTTCTTGGGTACGACCACTATGTTGGCCAACCATTTTGAGTAAACGACGGGGGTAATGAACTTCGCCTTGAGCAGTTTATCGATATCTTATTTGATTTTGAGCTCAAGGTGGGTCTTTTGACGTCAGAGTTTTTGCCTTACCGGCTTTGCTCCTTCGTTGAATAGTAGGTGATGTTGCACCAATGTGGGATCTAACCTTGGTATATCATCGTATGACCAGGCGAAGACAGCATGACATTCCTTGAGAAATGAAATCATATTTTCCCGCTCTTCAGCAGATAGGGATGTTCCAATTTTGGTCAACCTTGGGTCCTTCTCAGTTCCTAGGTTTACGTCGATCTTCTCGTCGATGAAAGCCGTTGGGTCACTTTCGAACCTCTTCTTGAATTGCTCAACATGGGAAGTGAGTTCCTCAGGTTGAGGGATTTCTTTAAACTCTTAGCTCTCTTGATCTTCGTCTTGGTCGTCCAATTCGTCGTCTTGGGTATTTTGCACCGTTATTGAGTTATCTTGAGTGTTCGCCATTTTTTAAAATTCTTTTTCATTATTATTAGTCTTATCATGTTTTGAATTTTCAACGGATTTTGAAATAACACAAGAGGTGTCCCTTAAGGGACTCACGAGAGAAATGTTGGGGACTAGACCCAGAGGAGGTTAGATGGCCACCCTGCGCTTATCCTTTTTTTGGCACCAAGACTTGAATGTACCGCTGGTATGCTTCCAACGATTCTCGAGATAGAGGGATGATCGACCAATTCCGTTCTTGGGTTTGTATCATTGAATGAGCACGCTTGGCTGTGTTAGAGCCGATTGGGCATACCTTCAAATCCAGGTCAACGAAAATGTCTTCAATCCCTAGTTCTTGTGTGTGGAAGAGGTATTATTCCCCATTGGGGATTCAAGGATCACCTTTGGCCATTTTGAAGGATGGGCATCGAGATGATCGAGGCTTTGAATGCCTCCATATACAAAGCCCGGATGGCAAGAAGGCTTCATCTGGCTTTGCAATAAGGTGAGAGAACACCTGAATCCTCTTCGATCCCCATTTTCAGTTTTAGCTTGGGATGATTCAAAATTTGCGTCCATTACGTTTTGCCCTTGACTCCTCAAGCCTTGGCTTGGTTGGAACCATTAGGAGAAGAGCATGTGCCAAGCCTCGAGGGACCCGAAACCGTATCGATGTTGACATTAGATGATGTCCTCCATCGATGCGAAAGTTTGCAAAATTTAGGGAGCAGGGTCCCCAGCCTCTAGGTGTAAGGTGGCACAAGCGGCTTGCTCGAAGGAAGCGAATGTGATTTCTCCAAACTCAACTTCTACGGCTAGCTTCCCGCTACCTATACTAGGATTGAGAAAAGAAGGGGTTTCAGCACATACCTTAGCGACGTTGTTTTTAGTCGAAAATTTGAGACATTGATGGAGTGTAGAGGCAACCACGAGGTTTTCATGCAGCCACGGTCTTCCTAGTAGCATGTTGAACGAAGGTTTTATGTCCAAGACATAAAACTTTATCACTTGGCCGATAGGGCTAATCTTGAGTGTGCGAGGCAGTATGTCTTCAGCTTGTCTCTTGCTCCCATCGTATTCAGCGATAGTTAGTTGACATGGCTCGAAGTCATCCGAGTTTTTGCCTAACTGTTTCATTGTTTTCATAGGGCATATGTTTAAGGATGCTCTATTATCAACAAGCACTATCCGTATCTCATATTCTTACATGAAAACAGTGATATGCAGAGGTTGGACATGAAAGCGGTTGAAGCTGATTGAGATGTCATCGTCCGTGAACATGATTGGCGTTGGTGCCATCAGTTGGTTGATCATTTCGCACAACTCATTCGGTTGTGTGTTGCTCCGGATGTGTGCGTTGACGATGACTTTTCAATCTGAGCTTTGTGTGCTGGTGAATTGGCAAGTAGCTCTAAGATGGAGATCTGAGCTTGGATCTTCTCAAGATGAGCCCATAGATCGTAGGTGGTTGCGGATCTTTGAATTTTTTTATTCGGTTCATAATCTGTGACCCTTGATGGTTGTCTGGCTTTTGAGGTATTTCTCATTCTTTCATCAAGAGTATCAGTCATCAATTGAATGGATTTGAAGACTCGGCCTCTTCGGGTTAGGGAATCAACCTCACCCGCCTGAAGCTCGATAGGGTCAGTCATAGAAAGAGTAATGGGAAGCTTTGGGGTGTTGGCGCCTTGTTTGGAAGGTGATCCATTTTCGTTGATCCTAACCATATCGATCTCTAGTATGTCATTTTCGTCATATCAGTCCCACTTGAGAAGGTTATCGAAGTTCGGAGATGAAGGGTTTCCTCTTAGAAGGCTCAAAATATCTTCTTCGGACTCTTGAAAGTGTTGATCACAAGCAAATATGAACTGACTGGGATCATCTTCTTCGTCTCCACTCTCAATTATGTGAATGACGACGTTCTCTTTTGAGTTGTATTGGGCTCTCAAAATTCGGTCGTTGTGACCATATTTTAAGGGAGAGGATTTGTGAAGATACCCATCTTTTGGTTAGATTGTTCGACAGGTTCATTTCTAGGGGCGACAGAGTGATGTCCCCCTATTAATTAGTCCTTGAATCACCTATTTCAAATATAAGCAGTTTTGAGTATCATGAGCATGGTTTTAATGCCATTTTCACCACTTACTCTTATCAGCTACTTGAAATGGTGGTTCAGATGATGGCGGGAGATAAACCATGTTTCTAGTCAGGAATAATTTCAGCATTTTTTCTAATGGGTCTTTGAGAGGGGTGAAATTATACTCTCGCCTTTGGTTATTATTTTGAGCGTTGGCTCTAGGCAGACCCCTTCAGTTTTGGTATTGATTGTTGCGTCAAGAAGCTGAACCTCGAGCCGGTCCGTTAACAACAATCTCATTAGCCTGACCAGAAGCATTCCCCTTGTTATTGTTTTTGTTCTTATTTTGAGGAGTTATTATCGGTTTATTGTCAGGCCTGGTGGTGAGGGGTGTCCCTCTGGCCCTCTCATGT